GGAGGAAAGAAGAAAGGACATCTTAAAAAGTAGAAGAAAATTAGTAAACAAAATGACAGGGATGACTTTAGTCTCAATAGTAACACACATTGCTGTAATCCCCCCACTGGGGAGGCTGAGGCAGGAGGATTGCTGTGTGTCCGAGGCCAGCTTGCTCTCCATAGTGAGTTCAAGGCCAGTCTGCACTACACAGCAAGACTCTGTTTATCCAAAAAAAAGTCATGTTGAATGTAAATGGATGAAATGCTTCAGATAAAAGAAGCAATTGTGCTATGTATATCTAATGAAATGTCAGTCTCTTTAGGGGAGGTATCAGGAATCAAACTCAGGACCTTGGCAGCAGGCACTGTGCCACTGAGCTAAATCCCCAGGCCCTTATTTTTTTTTCTTTTGTCTTTTTGAGACAGAGTCTCTATATACACTTCAGGCTGGTCTCGAACTTGCAACGATCCTCCTGCCTCAGCCTACCGCCTGAAGTGCTAGGATTACAGGTGTGCGCCACCACACCTGGCCTTCATTCAGTTTTAAGAAAAGAGAAATCTTACCATTTGCAATATCATGAATAGGCCTGGGGGACATCATGGTAAGTGCAATAAACCAGGCACATACGGACAAGCACTCCTTCACATGAGGCACTTACAGTAGTCAGACTTACAGAAGCAGAGAATGAAGTAGTGCTGAGGATGGGGTTGTGGGGAGTTGTTCAACAGGTACAAAGTTTCGGTTTTTGCTGGATGAATGAATTCTAGAGATCTGCTGTACAGCATTATGTCTACAATTAACAATACTATAGCTGGCAGTGGTGGTGCACGCTTGTAATCCCAGCACTTGAGAGGCTGAGGCAGGAGGGTCCTCATGAGTTTGAGGCCCGCCTGGGCTACATAGTGAGTTCAAGGCCAGCCTGAACTGTGAGATTCTATTAAAAAAAAAAAAAAAAGAAAAAGAAAAGGAAACCATCACCACCAAATACTATACAGTGCACTTCAGAACGGGGTGGAAGGATATTTCTCATTTTGTGTTCTTACTACAATTTCCATCCCCTAAAACAGTGATGGCGAACCTTTCAGAGCTTTCAATGATATAAACAGCCCACTGTGCCATGTATGCCATAGAAAGTTCTAAATGCTTCACTGCTCTGAGGTAAAAACTCATGCTGGGAAGGCTACCTGGCTCACAGCCGGCCTCTTGGGAGCCACGTAAAAGCTCCCAGCCCTCTTATCTCTGGATAAGAGGTCTGCCCAGGCTGGCCCCAAATTCCTGGACACAAGTGATCTTCCTGCCTCAACCTCCTCAGCAAATAAGGGCTTTTGTAGGGAAACGGGGCTGTGACAAACCAGAGGCCACCAGGCGAAGGTAACCTCTGCACTCTCTCCAGATCAACAGCCAGCTCCCGAGGGTGCCCCTGTGCAATCCTTCCCAGCAGAGATCCTGGTGGTTCTGGAAGCCAGAAGAACGGGTTGACCCTGCAGTGGGGCTGTGGGCCCTGGAGTCTCCTGGGAGCCCTGCACCCATCGCAGCTGCTCCCAGCAGGGATGCCCAGCGCTGAGAGTGTGGATTCCGGTGCCACACACTGTGGATTCAAGCTCCAGCCCGGTCTCTAGCGCCTAGGCAAGCTCCTTTGTTCCCCAGTCTCCCTATCAATAAAATGGGGACTGAGCTGGGCGTGGTGGCGCACACCTGTAATCCCAGCACTGGGAAGGCTGAGTCAGGAGGATCACTGGGAGTTCGAGACCAGCCTGGGCTACAAAGTGAACTCAAGGCCAGCCTGAACTGCATAGGGAGATCCTGACTCAAAAAAAACAAAACAAAAAACAAAATGGGGACTCAAACACTGTCTCTTAACAATGAGGACGAGGGGCTGGGGATTTAGCTCAGCAGCACAGCGCCTGCCTGGCAAGGGCGAGGTCCTGAGTTCGATTCCCGGTACCAGAAAACAAAACAAAACAAAACAAAACAAAAAAACCAATGAGGATTAGATGGCTTCATGTGACAGCAACCTGCCTGTGGGTGAGACTGGTTGGGAGTGTAATTCTGGCCCCTTCTCTCTGCTCCCTGTCTCCCTACAGTCTCTGCAGACGCTCCTTCCCGCTGAGGCAGCAAAAGAACTGGCTGGCTCTGCCCCCCACACCGCCCCTGCCCGGGTCCTGAGACCGACATGCAGCTGATGCTTCTGCAGCGCACGCCTGGGACCGCGGTCTCTGGAGGAGGCTGCGCGCAGTCCGGCCTTGCAGCGGATGCTGGAGGCCATCCCAGGACGTCCTTGGGAGCAAGCGGGGCCCCAGCCGCATCACTGTCCACTGAGGGACTCCGAGTAGACCGTGCCCCCCCACCACGCCCCCAGGCGGCCCGGCCTCTGCTCTGAGCGCAGCTCGGCCGCGCTGGAGCCGGAGTCTCCCTGTCTGTCAGTGCTGCCCTTCGGGCCCCGCTTCATGACGTCCTGTCCCGTTTTCCCGCTGGGAGATATCCATGTAGTGGTCCCAGAAAGAGTGTGGCACAGTGCCTGCTTGTGTCCCACAAACCCTAGGGACCAGGGCTTCTCTGACAACGCCAGCTCCCCCGACAGTCTGCTCCGCTGCCGGCTGGAGAGGGAGGGGACTTTTCCTCCGCCTCGGCCTGGCCTTTCCCTGAGCTCTGCGGCCGGGCTGGCTGCTTGGCGTCCTGTGTGGGAGCTGAGCGGCTGGACACCACCTGCCAGTTAGGGGACTTGTTATCCACGGGCGGACAGCGGCTCCGAACCCGGCACCCGGTCGGATCCTCCGCCACCGAACACGCTGGGCGTCTGCCGGGTCCGGCTCCCAGCAAGAGATCCCGGGCCCACGCGCCTCAGCGATCGGCGAAGACACACAAGAATGGCGCGAGGAGGCCACCCGCTTCCCCTGCGGTGGCCCGTTCTGTTTCTAGGACGCATCTTCTCTTTTTTTCAAAGCACCCTTTCCTCCGAGTACTTCTTCTCCTTTTTCTTTTCATTTTCTTATTTCTGCCTTAAATAAAGTCATCTTTCACATCCACCAACTGTCCTGACCCATTCACTGACTGGACAAATAATAACACTGGAGAACACTGCTGCTCCTCCCTACCCCATCGGCTGAGTCCTGGCTCTTCCCTTCCCTGTCTTCCCTCCTTTCACTTCCCCCCCTCTTCCCCGCTGCAGAACAGAGGCCCTCTCAGGAGGATCCCTGTGAGTTTGAGGCCAGCCTGGGCTACAAAGGGAGCTCAAGGCCAGCCTGAACTGCATAGCAAGACCCTGTCTCAAAAAGACAAAACAAAAAGAGGCCCCAGACACATGGGTTTGGCTCCTTTCAAGCAACATACAAGTTGGCATGGTTTTTCTTTTTTTTTTTTTTTTTTTTTGAGAGAGAGTCTCCATATGCAATTCAGGCTGGTCTTGAACTCACTTAAGTAGCTCAGGCTGGCCTTAAATTCACGGGGATCCTCCTGCCTCGGCCTCCTGAGTGCTGGGGTTACAGTCATACACCACCACACCCTGCAAATTGAGTTTTTATCTATTTGCTCAAGAAATGCTTACTGAAGGAAGGCTTCCTGTGTGCCCAGCCTGAGTGTAGGTCTAGGAGTTACTGAGATAAATAAGCCGTGAAGAAGAGCAAGCAGAGGAAAGAGTAAAAGCTAGAGGGCTGTGCATGACTGTAACCCCAGCACTGAGGAAGGCTGAGACAGGAGTACTGCAAGTTCGAGTTTACCTGGGTAACTTAGTTGAGTCTCTGCCTCAAAAAAATAAAATAAAATAAAATAAAAAGAGCTAAATATGTAGCTCAGTGCAAACGCCCTGGGTTTAATCCCTAGTACCACCCACTCAAACAAAACAAAACAAAAACCCAAAGACAACACCACACAAAATTACTGGGTGATAAACGCCGAGATGACCGAGCAGAGTCCTGTGAAGACTCTCGCGAAGCCTGCGGCGTTGGAGCTGAGACCACGTCCCGCCGGCGTCCGAGCCGGGCAGGGCTCCCGCTGTAGATCACAAGAGCGCACTCTGCCTAAGGCGGGCAGAAAGGGCACATGCGGGACGCGATCGCGCGGGGCCGAGGATGGGCGGCAGGCTGGAAAAACGAGCAGCTCACAGGCGCTGGTGAAGGGACGCCGGCGCCCAGAACCTGGACCAGTCAGGTGGCAGGAGGGTCTGGTCAGGGTGCAGCTGCCACCGCTCCGGATACTGGGCCTCTGGCACCGCAGGACCGCGGGGGCGCATTTCCCAGAGCATGGAAGTGATCCCTACCAGGCGGTCGGTCTGTTAGAAGGGAAGCGACTCCTGGCTCGCACAGAGCAAAGCCTGTCCGCACAGCGCCCTGCGCGACCCGGCCCTGGCCTCCTGGGCGCTGGCTGCTGCCTCCTCGGGGCGCAGCTCCCCCTCATCTCTTCCTCTTGCGTTGCCTTCCCAGGGGCGCACGACCTCTGGGTCCGCACAGCCGCTCCTTCCCTGACTCCCAGGTGCCCGTATTTTTTCCTGTCGCCTTCTAGCATGTGGTTATCGCATTTTGTTTGTGGGTGATCTGGCGGATGCCTGTCAGGTTCTTGGGATGAGTGGCTCACAGCACGGCACACTGGTCCCTGCGTGCGGGCTCGGGCGGCCTGCGCTTGAATTCGGGTTGTCACACCCAGCCTGTTTCCCTAACTGTAGCTCAGGTGCCTGCCTGATCTGGGTTCTTTTTTTTATCTTTTTGAGGCAGGGTCTCCCTGTGCAGTTCAGGCTGGCCTTGAGCTCACTTTGTAGCTCAGGGTGGCCTCGAACTCTCAACAATCCTCCTACCTCAGCCTCCCGAGCGCTGAGATTACAGGCGTGCGCCACTATGCCCGGCAGTCCTTTTTTTTTTTTTCCGGTACTGGGAATCGACCTTAGGACCTTGCGCCTACCAGGCAGGCGCTTGTGCCGCTGAGCTATCTCCCAGTCTCTACACCTAGGTTCTTGGCAAGGTCCCCGCCGTCTTCCCTTTTCATTGCACTTATCCTTCCAGTGTATTAAATGAGTCTCCAAGCTGACATGAGCGCAGTATGACGTTTCCATTGACTTTGGGTTATATGTCATTATAAATATTAACAAGTAAGATTTAGAAAGGACACCCGTGGGCAGGTCAAAGTACAAAAATTATCGTGGGGCTGCAGTTTGAGGACGGTTTCTGCAGCCGTCACATGGTAGCAAAACGGTGCTAAGCAGTGCACGAGTCTGCGTCGACGACAGCCAGAGTTCATGCATCGGGAGGTTCACTCGGTTTGAGAAGGAACAAAAGGGCAGGACATGCACAGCCCGGGCTCGGTGGGCGGACGGGCCGGGGAGGTGCAATTCCTCGCTCTCGCCACTAGAGGTCAGGAAGTTACCGCCTCAGGGTTGGAAGACGGGCCCGTCGGGATTGGCTAGAGGTGGCGGGGGGCGTGGCGGGGATCTGGGCGCCCGGTGGGGAATGCAGCGCACAGGCGACCCCTGGTTACTGACACCTGACTTTGGAATGATTTCTTTCTTTTTTTTTGGCATCACATTTCCTGTCTCCGTAGGGCTGAGGGACCAGAGGAAAGATGCCTGTTTTGGGGTCAAAGGCAGAGTCGATTCTGCAGCTTTTCGAAGTGCTTTTTCTTTGAGATGCAATGTGTACCGGGCCTAGAACAGAGCCAGGACCCTGGACGGCTGTCCCTGCGGCCAGGGCGGGGTGCCCCACCTTGGCCTGGAGCTAGCTGGCCACAACCCTGCCTGCTGGTCCCTGTGGTCAGCGGGGACCCTCTTCCAGGACAGCCTGGGGCAGTAGGGTGCTGGGCTGGCTGCCAGGAATCCTGGTTGCTTGTCCCAGCCGGACCTTTTCCTCTCAAGGCCTGTTTCCCCACGTGTCTCATAAGGAGTCGCACTAGGTGGGGTCCACCTGCCCTTGCGGTTTTGCCTCTTGGCACTTTCACATCTCCATAGGCCGCTGCGGCCCCTGTGGGAAGGAAGCACTCAATAAGGCAACGCTGAGATCCCTGCGGCTCACCCGGTCACAGGGCCCCTTAAAAACAGGCCACCTCCCACCTTGGCCCCCAGGGTTTCCCATTCCAGCCGCAGCCCCAGCCTCAGCCTCCTTGATCCCGGGCACAGAAGCCAGGACAGGCAGCGGAGCCCAGCGGCAGGCTGCGGGCTTCCGGAAAACCTGAGGAGCACAGATGGCTTCAAAGCCAGTTAAAAGGCGAAGGGGACAGGACAATGACAAGGCCCCACATCTCCACCATGCACCAGACCTGAGCTCCTCACGTTCCAGGAGGAGAGGACCTGCTCAGTGCTGATGCCCGGGCAAGCAAAGGGGCTGTGTCTGAGTCCCGGTTCTCCCCCTACCAGCTGTGACTTTGGCAAACTCTGGTCTCTCTGAGCCTCATAGGGGCAGGCGCTGCTCCCCTCAGAGGGTGGTGAGGATGCATGCAGACCGCGCCCGGCAACCTCAAGCCCCGAGGCAAAGCCTTCCTCTGGGTGGGGAAATCAGTTTCTGCGAGCAGCAGGTGTGGCTGGGTCCTGCAGTCCTGTTTCACAGCCACCTGGGAAGGGCTGACGGGCACTTGGGATTTGAACCGTCACCTCTGGCCCTTTGGATGTGCTTTGCGCTCGGAGCCCAAGGTTCGGCCCCCATGCCTGTGGGCCTAGCGCCCGGCTGACCTGAAGTGTGTCCAGCACGCTGGCCTGGGGTGGGGGCTGTGCATCCCGGCCCAGCTGTGCTAGGGCTGCAAGGCCGCCATGGGCAGTCCCTGGCCCCCTTGGTCCGGACGGATTGAGCATGGGGCTCTGCAGCGGCTTCGAGGCACCTCAGTTCTGCATTTGTTCACCCCCAGCTCCGGCGAGCACCTTCATGCCTGAACCCCCAAACTGTGACGCTCTCAGCAGCTTCCCAGAGAGAAAGCCTTGGCAGGACCTCTCTCAGCTCCTGGCTTTTCCAGAAACCAGGCCCTGGACTGCTACTGGGTACTCCTGAGACACTGGATCACACGACAGGGCCCAGAGGCCGAGGGCAACCCCGCGGGCCCTTGAACACCCTGCTTGAACCCCAAGGGGGTGGGGAAGGGAAGCTGGTGCTTGTTTGCTTCTCATGCCAGAGGTGCCCTTTTCTTTTCCCCATGCAGCTGGCCGACACGCAGGCTGAGCAGAACCAGACAGGTCTGAGGACTGAACCCAGCCCTGCACCGCCATCTACTTCCCCACCTGCCACAGGCCCAGCCCCTGCCTGAACACCCTCCTGGCCCCTCGCCTTCCTCTCCCCGCCCGGAGCCTTTGTGGAACCCTCCACTACCCGGACTGTTCCTCCACTCTGCCTGGAGACCCCTCACCCTTTAAGGCCTTGCTGAGGCACCACCTCCTCCCCAGCTTCCCTGCCTGTCTGTCACTGCAGCCCCAAGGCTGGTTTGGCCTTCCTCGGCCCTGGTTCGCGTCTAGCTCCTGACTACAAGTTGAGGGCAGGCCCATGCCTCACCCACGGGCAGGGGCTTGAGTGGAGCCCTCAGCCTGCAGCCTCCAGGAACTGCACACTCGGCTCACAGCCCCCTTCCGCCTGCCCAGCCAGGCCGGGAGAGGACGGCTGTGGTCGGAAGCTCTTCTGACTACTTCGTCCAAGTCCCGTCCTCCGCCTGCCCACAGTCTCCCTCCTCTGCTCTCTTCGGCGCCAACCTGAGCACCTGCCTGTCTGCACTCCCCCCGCCCCCCGACCTCTAGAAAGTCCTCGCCGCTTCACGGCCAAGGCCTTCTCCTCCCACCGCCTGTCCACTGCGCCCCGGGAGGCGGGAAGTAGGCCTGGCCCTCTGCCCTCCCTTGTCCCTCGGGTAGCCTGGGTGCTCTGTGTCCGAGCAGGCGTCTTGGATCGCGCCCAACATGGGGGCCACAGCCCTTGGTGACAGCCGAGGGAGCCCAGGGCCGGGCCTGAGCGGGCCGGGGGCAGGGGCGGCGGCGGCAGGCGGGCGGTCAGTCGCTGAGCACGGCCCCCGGGAGCTCGTTGGTGAGCGTGTGCCAGCGCTCGATGCGCTTGTCCTTGTTCTTCAGGCAGTCAAACCAGTGCTTCAGGCGCTCGCCCTTGGCATGGATGCCCAGAACCACGCCGCCTGCGGAGGGACAGCAGGGATTCAGCCGTGCCCGACTCGAGACTGAGGCCCTCTCGGATTCTGTGCTCTGATGCCAGCCTCTCCCGCTGCCCACCGGGCTGTGAACGTGGATGTTACCTGGCCTCCGTCCCAGCCCCCGCCCCGCAGCCCGGGGCCCAGGGGTCCTGCGCTTCCTCCTGCGCGGCCAGCGCCGTGCTGGGCAGGTGCAGCCCCGCGAGTCAGGGCCGAGGAACAGGGACCAGAAAGCAGAGGGGCAAGGCAGCGCCACTGCAGCCGTCGTCCCCACCAGGAACTCAGGGCCACGTGGGCTCCGAGTCCAGCCCCAGGTGCTAGCCACGTGTCACTGTCCCAGCGTGCTGACAGAGTGCTGCGTGGCCCTCTTACCCTCTCTGGGCCTGTCTGCTGTCACGGAGGGGGCAGGCTGCATGACGTCTGAGTCCCTTCCCCTCCTCCGTGGCCAGCAGGGAGGGCTGTGCCTGAGCCAGGGCCAGCGCTGTGGGCCACGGCGGGGAAGGTGCAGTGACGCCGTGTCCCGGCGGACCCGCTTACCAATGAAGTCGTTGGATTTCCCAATGTCGTAATCCCAAACCGTGACCTCCAGGGTCTTCTTGGCCAAGTCCCCGTGCTTAATCTCGTAGCAGAACTCCTGCCGGCCAGAAGGGGAGCATTAGGGCCAAGGCCACGTGGCCAGCAGGGGTCTGCGAGGAGGGTGGGCTGGGCCGTACCTGGGGCTGCCGAGGGCAGGATTGGGTGGGTTCTCAGCCCTCTCACTCACTTCTGCCTGAGGGTCCAGGACAGGGCCCCATCCCTCACCCGCCTCCCCTCTGCCCCGGAAGCTGTGATCTCCACATGCCCATCAGTCCCCTTCCTGTGACTCATGGCACAAAAACGAGTCCTTCATCCTTGACCTTTTTTTTTTTTTTGGTACTGGGAATCAAACTCAGGACCTTGTGCTTGCCAGGCAGGCGCTTGTGCCGCTGAGCTATATTCCTGGCTCATCCTTGACTTCTGGGCTGGCTTTGCTGACCTCATCCTTTTTAGGGGGTGAGGTGAGGTGATACTAGGGTCTTTGCCAAATCCCTAGACCTTTTTTATTTTGAGACAAGTTCTTGCTAAACTGCCCAGGCTGGGCTCAAATAAGATCCTCCTGCTTCAGCCTACTAGAGTGCTGGATTACAGGTCTACATCACCACAACTGGCTGACTTTTTTTGTGTGGACCCCTCTCCTGCCAGCTTCTGAGATGCTCTAAAATCAGGTATTTCTTCCCTCTGGACACAGCTCTTCCCTCAGCTGCCTCTGGGTCCCTGGCAAGGCTTAGGCTGTGCTCAAGGGCCCTCTGCTCATCCACCACCCCTTCTCCAGGCAGGACCGCCTGATCTGTGTCTCTAGCTGTGACTACCCCCGGGCTGAGGACCCTAATATCCACCTGACCGCTGCTTTCTGGGGCTTTCTGCTTTCTTAGGGCATTGTGAACCCTCACGCTGCACCCAGAGCTTCTCCTCATGTTTACATCCCCGTTCCCAACCTGTCACTGCTCAAAGAGCACGGAAGTCCCCTAACACTTGCCTCTTTCTACCCCTACATCTGCCATGGCCACAATCCCAATGGATCCTCTGCAGAGCTTCCCCGCCCCCCCACCTACGGCACTGTGGCCTGGTGTGGCCCGGCGCAGCCTTGGTTCTTCCCACAGCTGGGTGCTGTCAGCAGCGCATCCCCCTCTCCTGCCTCCTCCCACAGTGCGCCTTGGGAAACCCGCTTCCCTCCAGGCCTCCACCCTGGGGCAGACCCGGTGCCCGTGCCGGAGCCCCGGCCGCCCTCGTACCTCATTGAACTCTGGATTCAGGGTTTTCTTCTTCACCGCTGTCTTATGTTTGGATTTCTTGTCCACATCTGGCTTTAGGTACCTGGAATCACAACCAAGGGACAGGCAGGGGTGAGGAGAGCCTCGGGGCTGCAGATGCAGCCAGCAAGGCTGGGCAGAGCTCTTGTCTCTGCAGAGATGTTTCCGCCCTGCTTCTTCCAATCACAGGGCTCCTGGCACAGCCTTGTGGGCAAAGGTGAGTCAGTCAACTGCATGTGGGCCCCACAGTCCCCGGGGAGAGCATGTTCCTTGCCTCTGGAAGCCTAGGTTTTGTAAAACTTGTATTTCCCACCAGAAAGACACTTAGCAGAGATGGTTCCTTCCTCAAGTTTTTTTTTTTTTTAAGAGCAGGTTTATTGATATATAATTCACATACCATAAAATCCACCTGTCTAAACTGTAAAATCTATTTCTTCAGTCCATCCCAGAATTGTGAAACCATCATCACGTCCCCCTCCGAGCTCTGAGGAAGGGAAAGGCCTTTGGGGAGTAACCGGGAGGCGTCCCAGAGAGAGAGAGGCGCTAGCCAGACCACCTGGCTCCTGCCTTCTCTCTCTTCCGTCTGTAGGTACCCTGCTTAGACTCCTGCACCCAAGGCTCGGTGTGTCGCAGTGAGTTGCCCAAGGAAAGCGGCAAGGCTCAGGCGGTCAGAGGTGGGGATACGGAAGGCCTGGATCCGGGTGTCGGACTCATCCACGGATTCACTCAGGCCGAGTTCAGAGCTGAATGAGCTGCTATGAGGCAGGCTGGCTGGCGGTGGTCGCGGGAGGGTGTATGCCTGTCCCTGGCTCCTGCCTTCTCTCTCTGCAGCTCCCCTCCCCCGTACCCTTCCACCACGCCTGCTTGGAGTGGGCCGACCATGGGCTGACTCCTGTGAATGCAGCGCCCCTTGAACTGTGAGCATTGTTCGGAGTCCCACTGACGGGGAAGCTGACTCACACAGGCCCTCACCCTCCTTCGCAGAACCCCTCACCCTGTCCTCGCGCAGACCCGAGTGTGCCGAGCGCCTCCTCCTGCGGGGTGTGCGCTGGGGTCAGAACCACACTGCTCTCACCATCACCAGCTTCCTGCTCCCCAGCTCAGCGGCTGGTGCTGGGTAGGTCGATAAGCCGAGTGCCTGATTTCCCTGAATTCCCGGTAGTGAAATGACAGCAAAGGCGCGTTGGGGTCAAGCTTCTTGCTTCATCTGCAAACTGCCCTCCAGAAAGGCTGTGTGGCTGACACACAGGCCCCTGGCAAAGAACTAGCCCTTTAATGCCTTCGCTGGAATCTCACTGTTCTTTTACTTAGCATTTCAGAATTGTGACATTTATTTATTTATTTATTCATTTGTCCTTTTGAGGCAGGGTCTCACTATGCAGTTCAGGTTGGCCTTGAGCTCACTTTGTAGCCCAGGCTGGTCTTAAACTCACAACGATCCTCCTGCCTCAGCCTCCTGAGTGCTGGGATTACAGGCAGGCGCCACCACGCCCTGCTGAATGGTGACTTTTATTACATAAACGGTACTGGTTATTACAGAAACAGTGGAGGGTGTGTGGTGACAAGGGCTGTGGGTAGGAGAGAGATGAGGATTTGTGTGCACACAAACGCTAGTTTGTAGCAGCTTCATATAACGCCTGAAACTGGAAACAAGCATAAGCCCTTCACTGGTGAGCTGATCAACAAGACTCGCGGCTTACCCGCGAGGTGGAGGGCTGCTCGGCAACAGCAAAGACAGAGCTATTGGCACAGACAGCTGCAGAGGCTGCTGTGCCGACGATCCCACACCAAGAGACTACACAACGCCTTTCTATGAAAGTCTGGAAAAAGCAACACTATCAAGACAGAAAACAGGCCAGTGGTTGGAGCTGGAGAACCTTCTGGGCCCTCTGTACACTTTGCTCTGTACCCTTTCCAACCAAGGGCTGAAAATATTTGAAAAAGACTTGCGTCTGTACGAAACACTTGCAGACGTCTGCCCTCCTTGCTGTTGTTCCTCACCAAGAGAGTGTAACGAGCACTTATGAGCCAGGTGCGGCGGCACATGCCTGTCATCCAAGCTACTCAGGAGGCTGAGGCAGGAGGAGGATTCAGTCTGAGGCCAGCCTGTCTCAAAAAATAAAAAGGGAAGCCAGGTATGGCGGTACGTGCTACAGTCCGGCACTTGAGACTAAGGCAGGAAGATCAAGAGTTCGAATCCAGGGCGGGATGTTGCTCAGTGATAGAGTTTGCCTAGTAAGGGCAAGATAAAGCCCTGGGTTCAATCCCCAGCACTGTGAAAAACAAAAACCAGGGCCGGGGATATAGCTCAGTGGCACAAGCACGTGCCTGGCAAGAGCAAGGTCCTGAGTTCAATTCCCAGTACCAAAAAAAAAAAAAAACAAACCCAAAAAAAACAAAAACCAAAGCAATCACATTCACAGAGCATCTGCACTGTATTAGGTATTGTAAGTAATCTAGAGAGGACAAGGCACATGGAGGATGTGCGCAGGTTATGTGCAAACACCAGGCCTTTTTAAATGTATGAGGGACTTGAGTGGAGGTGGATTTTGACTCCAGGAGTCGGCTATATTCCATGTATTGACTGTGGCCGTGGTAACAAGATTGCACATGCTACAAGCTTCAAATAGGGAGAAGCTTACTGTATGTAAGTTATACCTCAACAAACAACTTAAAATTGGGAGCTCAAACGCACCCAGAGATGGTGAATTGTGTGTGTGTGTGTGTGTGTGTGTGGTATTGGGAACTGAACCCAGTGGCCTCACACCGTTGTATAATTTTGAGACAGCATCTCGCCTTCCCTAGGTCGCTGCTACTCAGACTGGGCTTGAATGCGCGATCCTCTTTCCTGGGATTATAGGCTCGGGGCGCCGCGCCGGCTGCAGTCCTTTGTGACGGATTTCTGCTCACGTGTTGGCATCGTTGCTACGTGTGCTTGTTGTTTCCTGTGCTGTGTCCTCTGCTGTTGCACCGGGGTGGGGAGCAGGGACGGGGAGCCCTGCAGAGCAGGATTGTGTCTCCCGGACGGAAGACTGGTCTGGGGTTTCTGTGCCCTCAGCCTGGACAACTCGTGTCCATCTGGTGACTCCTCACTGAGACGCTAGGCTGCCAGAGAGACGCGAGCACCAGGCCGCACGCAGTGCCCCTTGGGACCATCCCCAGCCGTGCCCCCAGGCCTCCGTCCTTCCCTCTGCCAACGCGCTGTTCCCGCCCCACGCCACAGACCCCTCAGAGGCCTGCCACGTGTCTTGTCAGGACCCTCCTGCTCTGGCCACCCAGAAGTGCCACATGGGGTCCTCTCAGCGCTGACTTGTTGGCCAAAGGCTCCTGAACCTCTGCCATGCTCTCAACACCCAGGATGGGGTCAACTGTCAGCGGTGGAGGTAGCTGTCACCATGAGCTTTATAAAAATGACGATGCGAATAAAAAGCCTTGACCACTGCAGTTTGCTCCGTGGCACCGGCCCCTCCCTTGCTCTCTTCTGGGGTCACAGGACCCTGTCAAGGAGGCAGCTGAGGGGCGCCTGTTGCCTCATTTCCCTGCTTTAGGAAAGTGGAGGCCTGGGTCCATGAAGAGGCCTTTCAGAGATAGGAAGCTGAGGAGGCCCGAGCAGCTAGGGCCTGTATTTTTTTTTTTTTGGTCTTTTTGAGACAGGGTCTCACTATGCAGTTCAGGCTGGCCTTGAGTTTACTTTGTAGCCCAGGCTGGTCTCAAATTTGCAACAATCCTCCTGCCTCAGTCTCCCGGGTGCTGGGATTACAGGCATAAGCCACCGTGCCGGGCAGCAGGCCCTGTCTTGACGAGAACAATTTCCCCAGACTTAGGAGTCTCAGTTCGAGCATCATTGTGATGCAGCTGCCCCTGATCTGCCCACTGCTGAAAGGCCACAGGCCTGGCCAGGGCTGCGAGGAGGATGTGGTCCAGGGGTCCGGCAGCTCCCCCCACACCAGCTGTCCATGGGCCTACCTGGGGCAAGGCCTCGCTTGCCTGAGGAAGCCAGGGCCAGGTGAGACCCTGCTTTCTGGGTGACCCGGTGAATTCCTGCCCACCTGGCAGGTGGGCACTGAACGTGACGTAAACTGTTGACAACGCTCTGGCCTCAGCTTGTATTTCGGTCTGAAGAGAAATCTAGCATTACGGGGAAGACGAGGCTCGCTGCTGGCCTCTGTGGTCCTGCACGCCTCCCTCCCTGGAGGCCCCCACTCAAGGAGACTCTGCACGGTTAAGAAACGCAGCGGCCTCCCAGTGTCTGCGGGATGGTGGCTCCAGGACAGCCCACATACCCAGACCCAGGGGTGCTCAAGTTCCACATGCAAAATGGCCCAGTGTCTGTGGTCACCCCACACAGTCCTCCCGTATACTGTACTTCGAGCCGTCTCTGGATTACCTGTAATACCCACTACAGTATAAGCGCCACTATGTAGATAGTTGTTACATTGTATTACAGACAATAACAACGAGGGAACAACGGTCTGTACACGTTCAGTATGGATGCAGCCGCCCCGCCCCACAAGCAGGACTCCCGGGTCCGCGGATGTGGAGGGCCGTCTATGAAACTGACAGGATTTGCTTTCAGGCTCAGCGTACTTTGGGTAGCTGTCCGTGTTAATCCGTCTAGCTCTAATTTATTCACTTAATCACATGACACACCACTGTATGCATGTGCCACCTCTTATTAATCTATTCTGCTGATGAACATTTGGAGCTTCCAGTTTATCACTATTACGAGCAATGCCGGCATAAACAGTTTCTCACCTGCGTGCAAGCTTCTAGGGTACAAACCTGGAGGGAAGAGAATGTGGCTGTCAGGTGCACACATTTCCCAGCTTCCCTGGAGACTGCAAGCTTTCTCTCCAGTGTTATAAGAAGTCTGCTGACTGTCCTCTGACACTTTCCTCTCCCGCTCAGCCTCTAAGCCACTGGACTACATTTTTTTTTTATTGTTTTGCTAAAAAAAATTTTTTTTTTTGAGACAGTTTCACTAATTTGCCTAGGCTGGCCTTGAACTTTCAATCCTCACGCCTCGGTCTTCCAGGTGGCTGGGCTTACAGGCATGTACCACTGCTCCTGTTGTAATTTTATACAACTTCTTTTTTTTTTTTTTTTTTGGTAGCAGGAATTGAACTCAGGACCTCACGCTTACCAGGCAGGCACTGTGCCACTGAGCTAAGTCCTCCGCCCTTACCCAACATTTGTATTGTACCTGCATGTAACTGTGACCTATCATGAGATCAAGTGTGACATTTTCTACCGGCAGCATTATGTTGGGACTCCAAAGTTTCAGATTTTGAAGTGTTTTGGGTTTCTGGTGTTTGGGCTGGAAATATTCAATTTGCACTTCACTCCTTTCAGTGGCTGAGTCATATTCCGCGGTATGGATAAACCCACATGTGTCTCTCCATTCATCAGTGGCGGGAGTTTGAGGTCTTTCCACTTTTAGCAACTATGAATAATGCTGCTGCAAACATTCGTGCAAACACTTTTTTGCGGATGTGCATTTTCAGTTTTCTCTGGTATAAATCTAAGAGCGGAATTGTTGGGTCCCGTGGTAACTGCGTTTAAATTACCCTCACGTACACATAGCCACCCTAGTACTGCGGATTGAACCCAGAGGCTGCACATGCGAGGCACGCACCCTACCACTGAACTACGTCCAGCCCTTTTTATTTATTTTATTTTGAGGCAGATCTCACCAAGTTGGCCAGGCTGCCTTGAATTTTCGATTTTTCTGCCTCAGCCTCTCCAGTAGCTAGGATTACCGGCATGTATCCCTACTCCTGGTTTGTGTTTAACTTTTGATAACTACCACTTGGTCTGCAAAAGACTGCAACAATCCTTACATATGATTTAAAAAGTGATCAAAAGAGCTGGGCGTGGTGGTGCACGCCTGTAATCCCAGCACTCGGGAAGTTGAGGCAGGAGGATTGCTGTGAGTTCAAGGCCATTCGGGGCTACAAAGTGAGTTCAAGACCAACCTGAACTGCATAGTGACACCCCTATCTCAAAAAGACAAAACAAACAAACAAAAAAAAGAGTGACCAAAATGTGACAGGGGCTGTTGGGTATGGTCCCGAGTTGTGCCATGAGGAGCCCTGGCCTCCCTGTGGGACCAAGATGTCTTCAGACTCCCTCCCCTGGGCCTCTTCCGTGTCTCCTCGGCCAAGACCATTCCAAGCCCTGCTCTAGCTCCTCGTGTCCGAGCTCCTTCCCCTCCTTTCTGTGGAGGAGGCCCTCTTCGAGTCCCTGCATCAGGGGACCCCCCTCCAGACGGGGAGACAACCGCCCAACCTGTGCCAGGCCCCAGGTAGTGAAGCTGGCACTGTGGAGCCCGTGCCACCCCTCTCCAGTGGCCGCTGGGTCTCACCTGCCCCTCCGAGCCAGAGCACAGCCTGTTCTGCTGTTCTGCAGCTCTTTGGCCCAGGTCACTGGCATGGCTCCCGGTGTCTCTCCTTCAGGCCACTGTCAGTGGCGGGGCTGGGCAGACCCTTTGCTGCACCTGTGGCCTCAGCACAGGGCTGGTGCCTTTGGACGGTCCCAGTGGTCTCCTCTGCCAGGTCTCCCAGCTTCCCTGTGACCCTTGGCCCTGGCTCCTTGTGTCCCTTCCCCCAACCTGCTCATGACTCCGGGGCCCACAGTCGCAGAGGGGTTTGTCTGTGGCACTAGGAGATAGCTATTCTTTGTGTGACCTAAGAAGCCACTTGGCCTCTCTGGGCCTCAGTTTTCCCACCTATAAAATGGGCTGGCCACATGTAATCCCTCAAATTGCCAAATGAGCCCTTAAGAAAACAGGCCCCCATGAACATGGTGTCCCTGCCCGTCAGGTGCCCCTCCAGTGCTGGCCATGCTTGGCCACAGTGCCAGACACCGTGTCGAGGGTGAGGAGAGGAAGCAGGCGGTAAGTCTGAGCTGTACACTCACGTTTTCACGTAGGGGTCCGAGTAGCCGTTGGCGTCCATGGCAGCCAGGTGTGCGCACCGCACGATGCCCACCAGCAGGCCCTGCTTCTGCGAGCTGTACTTGAGGGAGATGAGGATGCGGCCTCGCTCCTCCAGGGACTTGTCCTCCGTCTTGTCCACCTGTCGGGTGAGCAGTCACTCAGCGGTCCTCGCCTGCGCCTGCCCCACAGCCTGAAATGGCTTTCACAGCCCTGCACAGCTAGGCCCCGGTGCCAAATTGGACGGGACGCCTGGCCCTACGTGGGACCTCAGTAAGAGTGGTCTTCACTTTCTTCAACGGTCAAAAAAAAAAAATGAAAATAGTATTTCATCACACATAAAAATTATACGAAGTTTTCCAGGCGTGGTGGCGCATGCCTATAAACCTGCCCTCGGGAGGCTGAGGCAGGAGGATTGACATAAGTTTGAGACCAGCCTGAACTACATAGTGAGACCCTGTCTCAAAAACACAAAAAAGAGTTCAAAAAATTATATGAATTTCAACCTCAGCGTCCATTCACAAGGCTTTGCTGGAACTTGGCCTCACCCTTCCGCTTTTACCTCACAGTGGCAGAGCGAGGAGCTGTCACAGACGGTGGGGCCTGCAAAGCCTCACGGATTTGCCATCTGGCACTGCGCAGAAAGTCTGCCAACCCCTGCCCTGGCACCGGCTGCTTCGGCAGGTGGTCCCCACTCTGCCCTCTTCACAGCTGGGGCCTGATCTGTCTGAGCTCTGCGCCCCGTGCCCGCTCCAAGCCTCTTCTCAGGCTGAGTCCACTCCCAGCGCCCTGCTGTCTCCACAGCTGATGAAGTTCTGTCCCTAGGATGAGGCTCGGCTGCAGCAGCTTCTCCTAGGATTCCCTGACAACGGGCAGCTGGCTTTCCCGCCCCGTGGGGACCTGCCTCACTTCCTCCTGTCGCCATGCGGTGTGGCCACCTGCTTCCTCCTGTGTCTGCCTCTAGACTTGAGGTCCCTTGAAGACAGATTCTGCCTGTTTGATGTTTACACCCCGGGGCTGGGTGAGGGCCTGGCACCGACTAGCATCCGCCCACCACGGGCCTGTCCTAATGAAGGTGGGGACAAACAGAGGGACAGATGGTCACTCTGGGTTCAATTTCATGCTGGCTGCACCAGCCTGAGGCCTCAAAGAAAGGCCGAAAGGTCAGCCAGGCCCCTGCTGGAGGCCCGCTGGAAGGCAGGGTCTGGCGTGGCCCCTGAGGAGAGACAGAGTCAGGGCTTTGACCCCTTCCTAACTAGGGGCGGCTGGGAGCTGGGCAAGGAAGCCGCCTAGTCCCCTCCCAGTCTCCCAGTGCCTGGCACCCACCTCAGGGGTTGGCCCTCAGCTCCAGGTCCTGCCGTATCACCCACCCTTGACAAAAACCGGACGTGTCTCTACTCCCGGTCCTCCCAAGGTCACGCATTTCTTCTGGCCTCTGCTCCCGGAACCTCTTCCCCTGTACCTCTGCTCCCCCCGGACATACCAGCTGGAGCCCCGTGTCCCCTCCCCGGGATTCTGCTATGCTCCCCTTTTATGTGGGCCCACGCTATGCCCACCATTGCTCTGCCTGACACTGATGCGAGTCCCCATCAGCCACATCCACACCTTGCAGGAGGTGAGACTAGAAGGGAGCTAAGTTTTCAGGCATGGGAGATTATACTTTGGGTGTTTCATATGAAGAACACCAAGTGGGCTACTGTCCAGGGCTTAAAACAATGTACACAGACCATAAACACAAAATGCAGGGCCAGGGAGACAGCTGAGCGGCACAGCGCCTGCCTGGCAAGTGCAAGGTCCTGCGTTTAATTCCCGGGACCAAAAAAATCCCCAAGCAACCAACCAACCAAACAAAAAAACCCCACAAAATGCACCGCCAGTATGCATCTTTACTGGCGGAGCGGTTACCACAGACTGTTCTCTGAGCTCACTGCATGTCTCCTCCTGACCAGCGAGCGTGTAGCAAACGCAAGCAAAGCTCGGCAACGTCTGGATGCAGCTCTGGGTGCAGGCACTCTCACAAACACACACTCTTGCATCCATGTGCGCGCGCGCGCGCACACACGTCCCACACACTCACTTGTTTGTTTATGCGCATGAGCAGAACTCAGGAACACAACTATTGTGGCAGCCAGCACTACCTTCCTAAGTGATTTAGATCATTTGAAAAAACTAGGTTACCTGCGGTTAGTGACTAATAATAAAATAGAAAAGGTTATATCCATCACATAAATGTCTATGAGTGGGAGAGAATGTGACAAAAGAACACAATTTGATCAAGTTATGCAAAAAGCTGGGCTCTGGCAGGCAGCTCAGGCCGCGGGCTGACTTGTTTGTTACTAGGTCTGGCTTGGGCTAAGCTGGCCAAGAATCCACGTCCCAAGGACACCGGGCTCCAGCAGGCCGGGCACTGGGGGTGGGGGGTGGCTGTGGGTTTTGTCCTCCTGGGCGTTCCCACTGCTCAGGCCTGGAGGTTGGGGACAATGAGTCACTGCCAGAGTCCGCAACACTGGGCAGCTTCGGGCCAAGCATTTCTTTTGGCCTCAGGCCACTGGGGTGTCCTGGGCAATCCCTCAGCCCTTCTGAGCGGTTGGAGGACGAGGGGCAGGGAGAGAGGGCAGGAGAGCAGAGAGGGAGAGACCAGGACCCTGGGAGGGCTCAGCTGCTGCAGCCTGTCAGGGGCCAAATCTGTTCTGACATAATTTTCCAACAATGGCAATTTCTAGGAAAGAATTACGTGCTGTCTCCTCTGGGCATCTCACAGCCCTGCAAGTCTGACACGTTCCAATTGAGCTCCCGCGCAGCAGCGCCGCCCCAGCTGCTCCTAGTTAATGGCTGCCTCATCCTTCCGGATGCTCAGGCCCCAGATGTCACCACTGCCCTTTCTCGGCCGAGGCAGGTCTGCTGGTGCAGCCCGTCTAGCCCCCGCCCCCGCCAACTCCTCCACAGCTGGGCTGCACACAGCTCCTTACAGGAACCGCCCTCATCTTCTCCCTGAGCCCCAAACGTCACCAGATGCGGTCCCTGCGCTTAGCACTCTCTGGGACCTGGTGGCGCTCGGGGCGGAAGCCGACACCCTTCCTAGCCGCAGCGCCCAGCCTCTCGCTGCTGCCCTCACCGCCTCAGCCCTGAGCCTCCATCAGGCAGGAAGTTCTGTCTCCCACACCACAGCCAGGCCGGGGGTGGAGCGGGTGCTCAGTAAATCCCGCAGGCCCTGTGGCCCTGCAGAGGCACTGGATAGAGGGAGCTGGAGGCCCACTCACCGGCAGCTGCTTCTCCAGGCAGATGCTGAAAGTCTTGGTGTGGTTGGGTTTCAGCTTCTTCAGGGGCACTCTCGTCTCCCCAATGAACTCGTTGTGGCGGAATTTGTCCTCATCACACACGGAGATGCTGTGGAGCAAAGGGTGAAGGCACACCTCAGACGCCCTGGTGTCCCGATTTGCCTCCAAAATTGGGGGGGGGGTCACAAGTGGTGGGGGTGTACGTGGGGCGGCGCAGGGTGGGGCATAAGTGCCTGGGGGCCTCACGCACCGCAGGGTCTTGCGGATCATGTCCTCATCTGTGATCCCGTAGTAAGTGAGGGTCTCGTTCCACGTGGGGTTCAGAGTGTTACGCAGGGTTTTTGTCCTAAGCTTATTTGCCTGGAGAAAGGAAAACAGCTAGGTGAGTGCAGGAGGAAGCGTGCGGCCCCCAAAGATGGCCGTGTCCTCGGCCCTGCTCCCTGTGGGCGGACAAGGCAGAGTGGGCTGAGGCTACAGAAGGGGCTGAGGTTGTTGATTTGCTGAGTATAAAGCAGGGAAGGCGGGTGGGGTGGGGGTGGAGCTCAGTGGTCGAGTGCTTGCTTATTACAGCAACAAAACAACAAAATAAAAGGAGGGTGGAGATAATCCTGGATGATCGGAGTGGCCCACATGATCACAGGGGTCCTTAAAAGTGGAAGCGGGGACACTGAGGGAAACAGAGAGAGAGATGAGGCAGAGGAGAAGGTCAGAGAGATGTACCACGCCTGGCTTCTAACATGAGGAAGGGACTATGAAGCAAGGAACCCAGGGGGCTTCCAGGAGTTGGAAAGAGCTGAAAAATGGATCATTCCCTAGGGCTCCACAAGAACACAGCCCCATAGATTCTTGATGTTTACAATTTTATTTATTTAGTGGTACTGGAGAATGAACCCATGGCCTTTACACTGAGCTCCATCTCAGTCCCTCATTTTAAGACAGGGTCTCACTAAGTCGCTAAGTTGCCCAGGCTGGGCTCAAACTTGCGATCCTCCTGCCTCAGCCTCCCAGAGCGCTGGGGTGATAGGCATGCACCACCATGCCTGGGAACACCTTCATTTTTAGCCAGTGAAACCCATGTCAGACTTCTAACCTGCAGAGAGGTAAGATAATAAATATTTCAGCCACTGAGTCTGTGTCAGTTGTTGCAGCAGTCACAGGAAGCCGCTTGAGGGGACCCCACCAGCAGGCCCCGTGGTGGTGGTGGGGTGGGGGTGGCTTTGCTGGAAGCAGCGGCAGGCAGCTGCTGGTAGAGCCAGCCACCTCCCTCCCCTGCACCCCTGCATGCCCATTTGGTGCCTTTATTTAGGCTGCTCCTTTTGCTGGAATCCATGCTGTTATAAAGAATGCCTTCTGGGTAGCCCATGCAAGCCGGGGTGTTGCCTCTACTCTCTCTGTCTGCCTGTCTGCCTGTTGGGTCAAACATCATGGGGTTCCGTGGTCAAACAAACCTGGCAGAAGCTGCCCACTCTGTCCTGTTACAGAGTCACAGAACAGCCCATCAACACATTAAGGGCTCTGATAGGTCCTATGCTCAAAAAACCTGTTTAACAATGTTTCTCAGTATTATTTGACCATGGAACCCCCCCTTTTTTTTTAAACATATGATATTGAACTCCAGCCAAGACTCTTTCATATAAAAAAAAGGCTGGCCTGGAAATTCTCTGGTGGGGGCTCCGCCCCTCTCAGCAGGTAGGCAAAGCTGGCCCGGGAGGTCCCTGGGAGGCCTGGTGGTGCTTTGCGTGAGGTCCCAACAGCTTGCTTGGGCCCTGGGTATGTGTGCGTGGGCCTCCCTGAGAGCCCTGTCACGGTGCGCAGGCCTGGGTGGGAACCCTCACCTTACTGGCTCCTGGCAGCAGGTGCAGCTTGACGTAGGGATCAGCCAGTCCGTTGTGGTCCATTGGCTTCAGGCCCTGGGCAGAGGAGACCAGCAGAGGGTGTGAACTGGAAACTGGGGCTACAGAGCAGCCAGGGCCCCCAGGGGCCGGAGCCAGCAGATGTCTTCTACCTGGGTCCACTCACGGCCCTCTCCCCAGAAGCCCCGGCCCCTCAGCCCCAGGTGGGTGTGTGAGGACGCCTCAGTGCCCACGTGGCCTCCCCCACGCAGTGTCCTGGCCTGGTGTGGCTGCCAAGGATTGGGAGGGCTGCTTTTCTCTTTCTAGCTTCTCTGTCACGGAGGCCACGTGACCGGCCCTGCTCCCAACAGGGATAACTGTCTGACTTTGGCCTTTCTTTGGTCTGACTTCAGGCCTTTCCCTCTTCCCTTCCAAACATGGCTCCCTCCTGGGGAGTCTCTCCACAACCCCAAGTTCAAGGGATTCTCTGTCCGCCATTCGCACAGCTTCCTTGGTGGCGGTGGGAGAGGCTCCAGGTCCTGGGAGACTGGCTGAGGCCTGACTCAACTTTCTCTGGCGTGCCCAGAGTTCGCAGGCTCCACAAGATGGCAGCCCTCACTAACTCTGCTTTCAGAGCCCTCTGAAGACCCAGTCCAGAACCACACAGGACAGGGGCTTAGCGGAGGGCAGGAGCAGGCTTCACTCCCCGAATGCAGGAAGGAAGTTGGGCTATACGAGGCAGGGAGCCATCCCTCCCACCCCACCCTGACTTTATTCACAGAGGAACTGCAGGTTTTCCACACGGAGGGGTTGGGGGGACACGGACTCTCCATCGGGCCCAGGCTCCCCCCGACCCAGTGCCTGCCTTGGGGACACTCCCAGCCAGGGGCTGCCACCTGCCATCACCTGCTGCTGGGGAGGACACAGGTTGGCCTGAGATAGGCGTTCAGCTGGATGAGCTCTGAGTTACTTTGTGTCCTCAGCTTTATGGTTTGTAAGATGGAGTAGTAATTCCAGCTTCCCAGGCCAGGACAGAGGGAAGGAGGTAATGCAGGGACAGCACCTGCAGGCAGAGCGCTTGTTCCCATCCTGGACATGCCAGACCCCTTGGAAGATGCCAGAATGTCACCAAGGGCTGGGGTGGGGGTGTCTGAGCCGTGTAGGGGCCTCAGCTCTGCAGGCTGTGGGTGGGGCTGGCTTGGTGGCCCTGTGTGTCCCCAGGAGACTGTCCTTCCAGACCCAGCTCCCTCCTCCTGGCCTCCTGGCTTCTCCCACCAAGTGCCCGGCATGAAGCACAGAGTATGCCGGGGACTCTGACGGCTCTGCAGTTCTGGGACACCCATGAGGTGGGGGGGGGGACAGCTGCCAACCTGGCATGGGAATGCTCCTGTTCTGTGCTTTGGACCCTCGTGGCCACTTCTGCACTCTTCAGCCAGCAGATCCCAGGGCACACTTGGACACACTCGGCCTGGAGCGGAAGGCTGAGTGGGCACTGGCCGAGGCCATGTCTCTTTCCTACCACTGACTCCTATGGGAGCGCTGGCCTGTAGCCACTTGGGAGAGGGCAGGACCTTCTGTAGACCTCCGGGAGAGTGAGAGGGTGGCAGCCAGGGCCCGGGGAGAGGAGCTGGGGAGCTGTTTAGTGCCTGCACACACGTGTACACACAGGACATCTGGGGATGGGGGGGCAGGCAGGGAGAAGCCCTGGAGTCCAGGAAGGGGAGGTGGCTCTGGCCCCGGTGGCCTAGCACACGATTCCCCAAGACTGGACAAGCTCAACAAAGCTGGCTGAGGGAGAGGAGAAGGGTCCGGCCTCCCCCCGGTGAGGCTGGGGGCCACCAGGTGGTCAGCTCCGTTCTTAGGGTGGGAGTGGGCAGGGTGGGAGGTGGAGAGAGTGGCCTCGAGGTGCCCAACCTGGGCCTGGCCCGGCGTGCACTGTACTCACACCTGCACATGGCGGTCTGTGCGTGGTGGCCCAGGCTGGGGTGGCCCCCGGCAGCCTGTCTCTTGGGGTGGGTACAGAGCCACAAGATGGGAGCAGGAGGCAGCAGCAGGTCGGGGTGCTGGGGTAGGGTCTGGGCCCAGGCAGCTCTGTAGGAAGCCCCACCATCTGAGCTGGGCTGGCCCAGGCCCGTCCACAGCCCTACGGGGGCTCTACTGGCCACGAGGGCCCTTACCTTGCGAGAGAACATCAGCTTTGGCACCTTCCTCCCAGAGGGAGCCATTGCGGTGGGGGACAAGGGAACAGCACGGGTGAAAACACAGCTGACACGCCGCCTCAAGGGGAGCTGAGACACGGGGTGCACTGGGGACCTGGCCGGGCCACCAAGGGCTTCATGACACCCACAACCCTAGACGGCAAGGCTGAGAGGGCCTTCGGGGGTCAGGCCCAGAGGCTAATCTCCTGCCTAGGGTCGGCCTCCTTTGGTGGCACCTGCCGCACTAACACAGGATAGTTGTGCCCACCCACCGCTCAGGAAGCCTCGAAGCCTAAGGGCTAGGAACATGGGGTGGGGAGACCTCCGGCCATCAGCATCCCCCTCATACCCTCCCTCACGCGCAGCACAGAATCCCTTCACCCTCTTCTCATCCTTGACAACCTGTCCCCTAGAAGCCCAGCCAGGGCCTTCTCCCTAAAGGCCTTGCTCTACTGAGGCTTTTTGGGGAGCGGGCAGCTGAGATGGTTTAGGCAAGAGCTCCCTGCTTGTGCTGCTCCCCACACAGCAGACACCATGATGCCCGGGAAGGAAGGCGGGAGGATGGGCCCCCATCCAGCTCTTCCTCTCTGTCTGGGGCGGCGGGGGGTGCAGGGCCTACCTTGGCCTTGCTGATGGTGCAGTGCAGCGCGTTGTTCTCCTGGTCATACAGCAGGCTGAAGTCCAGGGTGCCCAGGGCGGCTGTGGACAGAGAGCGCGCAGGTCACGCTTGGGCTGCATCCCTGAGAGGTGTCCCCTCCCCTTCGTGGCTAGAGGAGCCATACTATTTTTTTTTTTTCTTCCAGATTCAAAAGATTAATTTGGAAAAATTGGCACAGGGCAAAGATATTCTTCATAATCCTCAGAATATTTGAATATGCAAAATCTTCATAAAATGTGGGCAGAAAAGCAGCAACTCTGATCTCGCAGGATGTCAACGGTATACACAAGTTAAACCCCCATGCCTGCCCCCCGCATGTGCTCTTGCCGCCCCTCATGGACATGAGCTGTCAGCGAGCTTCTGTGTTCAGGGCTGCCAGGCAGGCTGAAAAGCATGATCATTTTCGTTTTTAAATGGCTGGAATTAGTTAAAGCAATCCAAGTATTACTCTTACAGCAAAGCTTAGCAAAACCATCGAGGATACCACTAATAGCATTTTAAAATTATCCAGATGATTTCCGTATTGAGACTGAGAAGAGGCACGGAGTCTCGGGGCTGTGACAGGCACCCTGAGGTTCACTCCGGACACAGGCACACGTCCACATTTATCATGAGGAGCGGCACCACTACATCCCATCCACAAAGCCCAGGAATAGGGCTGGGGATTTAGCTCAGTGGCACAGCACCTGCCTGGCAAGCGCTAGGTCATGAGTTCGATTCCTGGTACTGGTAAAAAAAAAAAAAAAAGTCTGAGGAATATGCTTTGGGGCTGGGGATTTAGCTCAGTGGCGAGTTCGGTTCCCGGTACCGGAGAAAAACCAAAAAACAACAAACAAACAAACAAACAAACAAACAAAAAGCCCAGGAATAAAGAGATACACGGGGCTGAGGTGTGGCTCAGTGGCAGAGTCTTTGCCTAGGGGTGCAAGGTCCTGGGTTTGATCATCAGCCCTGCAAACAAAACAAAAATACGCTTTGGCTGGGTGTGGTGGTGCATGCCTGTAATCCCGGCACTCTGGGAAGCTGAGGCAGGAGGACTGCAAGTTAGAGCACAGCTTGAGCAATTTAGTGAGATCCTGTCCAAAAATTTTTAAAAAGGCGGTGGGGGAGGAGACTAGGGATATAGTTCAATGTGAAGGTCCTGGGTTCAATTCCCAGGACTAGAAAACAAAACAAAATAAAACAACCCCAAGTTTTACAGAAGAAAGATTTAAAGTCTACATACATTAACAATAAAACCATGTCTTCTAGGTAACAGGTCGAAGTATGAAGGCATATCACTGACTTGTTTTTCAAAATAGCCAGGAATTGCCGGGGATTTAGCTCCATGGCATAAGCGCCTGCCTGGCAAATGCAAGGTCCTGAGTTCAATTCCCAGTATCCCTCTACCCCTGTAAAATAGCCAGGAATTAACGTCACAGAACCCAGGGTGACAGCCACCAACTGAGCATCTACAGTATGCCAATCATGTCACCCATCCTCCCAACCCACCCAGCCCCAGGAGCTGACCACAGTCTTCTCACTTTCCAGAGAAGGGACTGAGGCTCAGAGAAGATAGTCAGGTCACCTCCAGCCCCTCTAAGTGGCAAAAGAGTCCCCCCAGGAAGTCAGCCATAACCCCGGTGCTCTGCCTCCTGGGCCTGGCCGAGAGAGGTACTCACATGTACCAGGTACTTGTCCCCCATGTGTAACTGTTACCTTGGGTTCTGTGCCTCAGTTTCCCCCACCTATGAAATGTCACAAGAACCGTGTGACAAGGTAGAGGAGATGGGGCTTTGAGAAGCTGCAGGCCGGGGGCAGCCTGACTGATGCACACACCCGACCTTCAGGCAGCACACGGGACTATGGCTCCCTGGTCTCTCTGGCCCCTTGGGGACCCTGGGCAGGCTCAAAGACCCAGCTGGGTCCTCACGCTGCGGCCAAGTCTCGCAGAGGCAGGAGCGATTTCCCAAGGGCCAGGCAGAGGGTGCAGCAGTAACTGGGTGCAGCTGCCGCCCTTAGGGGCCATCACGCACAGCAGCTGTGCCCTTCCACACCCAAGTGGCTCCCAGCAGGAAGGGTTAGGAGCGGCGGTGGAGAACGCCGTGGCACGGCCCCAGACAGCAAGGCACAATTCCCAGATGTTCCAGAAGCCCTGATCCCGCTCCCAAGCTGCCAGTCTGGTCAACTGATGTTTCATTCATTCATCCACCCACTCATTCATTCATTCTTTATTTACCAACTGTTTACAATCTGCTACTCTTGAGATGAAGGTATCTATACAGCACACTCTTGCCTCCAAGGAAAACACAGTTTATGGGGGACAGAGACAGAACTTGTCACAACAGTCTGGAGAGTCATGAGCTATGGTAGCCCAAGGAGGAGTGCCTGGACTCACTGTGCACTGGGGCACCAGGAGAGGTCTCCAGGAGGAGGGATGCTTCATCTGGTCCAGGAAGGATCCGAAGGAGCTGGCCAGTGGCACAGAAGGGCTGGGAAGAGGACACACCAGCTGGGAGGTGGGGGTCTAGTGGCCAACTCCAAGCATGGCCATCACACACTTCTAGAGCGGCTTTCCTAAGATACTGCATAGACCGGATGGTCTGCAGAGCTGAACATGCTTCCTCTGTGGCGCTTTATAAAGTTTCTCAGGTCTGCAGGGAAAAGAGCCGACTAAGGGACTGAGGGTAGAGAAACTAGGTGGGTGGAGCTACTCTTTGTTCTGAGATGATTTAGAACCATATTTGTCTTGTTCCCCGGGTCCTACTAGGGCGAGGCACGCAGGGGTAACACCTGAGGTTGGACTCCCCAGGTTTCAGTCCCCATCTGTCTTTCTCCTCCCTCTCTCTCTGGAGACAGTGTTTCACTGTGTAGTTCAGGCTGGCCTTGAACTCACTATGCAGCCCAGGCTGGCCTCAAACTCACAGCAATCCTCCTGCCTCAGCCTCCTGGGATCACAGGTGAGTGCCACCATGCCCAGCTTCCTCATGTGCAAACTGGAGACAGCAGTAGTATCTACTTCACAGCACATAGCACCTGGGGTATAGCAAGCGCTCAGTGGATAATTATAGAAGGAACAGATCCATTTAGGTGATGTTTCTAGATTACTGTGCTGGCCCCTCAGAGACCCACTCTGGAAGAAATTCATTCTAAACTGGATCACGCCTCTCCCTGCCTCTGGGAACAGAATATCCACATGGTCACCTAAGCTCTTCTGAATAACATGAGTCATTGCTATGATTATGATGATTCTGCTTTGCGTCACAGCCATAGCTCGGACACGAAGAGGGTGAGAGGCGACCCCTCCAACAGGTGCCCCAGCTGGCCCCTCTCCCTCCCTCTCCATCAGCCCAAGTTCCTGTTACAGTGTCTGCCTTAGGCCGCCCAGCTTCAATTCTACCCCGAAGTAGTTTCTACCATGAAACCATGTGACAATGACATTTGTTAGCTCTGTGTCCAAAGTAAGAGGCAAGGAGGGAGCCTAAGGGACTCGCTCCTGAGTAGACAGCGTGTGCTCTGGTGCTCACTGCACCTGACCTTTTGCTGCCCTCACCCCGGCTGTGCAGGTGGCCGGGGGAAGCACACGGCAGCATTCCCGCAGCCATAATACAGCCCCAGGCCCAGGACTCACGCAGCTCTGTGTGTGTGTGTGTGTGTGTGTGTGTGTTACTGAGGATCAAATCAATGAGCACTCTGCCACTGAGCTACAGCCCCAGCCCCTTTTTTGAGAAAAATCTCACTAAATTGGCCAGGGAGGAGTTGTACTTGTGATGCTCCTGCCTCAGCCTCCCCAGCTGCTGGCATTACTGGCGGGCACCACCGTGCCCAGCAGACGCCCCCAGCTTTTGTGAAGACATTCTTCAGATCTCTGCTTGTACAGTTGGGTGACAGTCCATCTGCTGCTGTTCGGTCCAGAACCCCCTGCTCTCCTGCAATCTTAGCCTCTGAGAGCAGGGACCCTACCTTGGCTACACCCCTGAGACCAGCGGGAGCAGGCGCTCAACCCACACGGAGATGTCACCCAAGCCCATGTACTCCCCGGTTGCTTACCAGGAAGCAGGGTTTGGGGTGACAGCACTGGCAAGAACACACATTCCACAAAGCCTCCCTCTTTGCAGGTCCCAGGGAAGGCCAAGGCAGCGGGGCAGAGGGGAAGCAGCTCTGGAGGGGCCCCTGGCACAGTCTGTGGGGGTCCCTGTCTAAGAGGCTCACATGCTCCGGGGGAAAGCGGGTGCCTGCTCTGGCTTCCTGGGAAGGAGTGGGCCGGCTGGGGCAGGACTGATGAATGTCTCTGAGCACCCCGGGAACACCTGTGAGAAATACTAGTTTACAAGCAGAAGCGCTGCCTCAATTCTTAGACTTGCAGGGCTCGGGATGCTCTCCCGGGGAGTGTATGTCCAGTGGCCCTTCCCCTTTTGGAGGAAGAAGCCTCAGAAGGGAGGTGACTTGGGCAGAGGGGCCCAGCAGAGCCAGAGAGTTTCTGCCTTAAAGCTTAGTGGCTTCCTGCAAGTTACTGTTTGCTACTTTGTTTAACCAAAATATTTTTTTTTTTGTTTTTTTGTCTTTTTGAGACAGAGTCTGACTATGCAGTTCAGGCTGGCCTTGAGCTCACTTTGTAGCCCAGGCTGGTCTCCAACTTGCAACAATCCTCCTGCCTCAGCCTCCTGAGTGCTGGGATTATAGGTGTGCGCCACCACGCCTGGCTAACCAAAAGCTTAGAAGCTGTAACCATGAAAAAAGAAAAAAAGCAGGGCTGCTCTTGTGGGAGACGGGGCTTTCCACCTCTGAACTGGAGGCAGAGAGGGAGTCTGGGCTGTGCTGGGGGGTGGGGTGGGGGCGGGGGCAGGGAAGTGCTTCTCCGTGGGAGCCACAGGGTGCGGAGCCACCGCCCTTGAAGCTCCTCCGATCACCTGCCCCCACTGAAGTTTGCATCTTGGGAAGAATAATGAGGGTTGGTCACTAATGGGCCTTTGAGGGTTATCACCTGCCTGCCTATAATTATAGAGCTTTAACGGGGCTAATTCAGAGAAAATCAAGCACAAGCCCCCACTGGGTCCTCTAA